TTGGCTAATTTATGTGTAATACCAATGAAAATATCATATTATTAATCTTAGATCTTATTTTCACTCGGTTCAACACATAAATGTTGTATTTATCGTTTAAGCTCAAAAATATTTATGTAATTTTTACTCATTTAGCACAATTCTTGCAGCTTCATTTAGGATTTTACTCTTCCTCTCTGCTATCCCACTTTGTTGTTGTGCTTTAGGAGCTGAGAAGTTGTGATTTATTCCTATCTTTTGATTTCAAAAATTTCATTTTCAAGTTCTCCATCATGGCCACTGTGGATAGTGGATATAGTATAACCTGTCTTCCTTTGAATCCATATAGCAATTAGTCTAAGCTCTGAAAAAGATTCACTTATTTGTGCCAAAAAGTCAAACCCAGGTAAAACTATTGTAGTCATTTTCTATCATGAAATTATAGGACTTTCCTCTCAAACTTATGATGTTAATGGACCCAAACAAATCCATTTATAATCTATCTAGTGATCCAGAAGTTACTATGTTCTTAATTTAATAAAATGATGACCTGACCTATTTTCTTAACAAGTAGCATCATATAAATGATTATTATTTAATTGGAGTTTTGGTGCCCCTCTAATTAACTCAAAAGGTGTGATTTTCTCAAGCGTGTTCATACTGCATGACATAGTCTCTTACGTCATAACCAATACCAATTTATTATAATTCTTAGGCAACATACTTCTTTAGACTTACTCATATTATTTAGATCAAGCACATAAAAATTATTCATACCTTGATCTTTTAAAATAACTTTATCATTCAAAATATGTAAACATTTGTTAGGAAAAAAATCAAAATCTTTATCATACAATTGACTAATGCTCAATAAATTATAATTTAAATTGTCTATTAATAGAGCCTTCTCAATGTTTTTAGAATTTTTCTTACCGATATTAGATGATCCAATTACCTTTCATGTGGTATTATCGTCAAGGGTCATCTTTTCAATATTCTTGAATTTGAGTGTAATAAAGTTTCTATTATCTCTAATTATGTGAAGTGAGCACTTGCTGTCTAAGTTTGACATGCCTTCACTGGTCTCGTTGTGAAGGAGCACCTACACAAACACGATAAGATTGGACTTTAAGAGCCTAAATTAGCTTAGGTCCCCCAATGCTATATGATGCATGCATGTTGTAATGAATCCTAATGGCTTTAGGTCTCCATTCATAAGAAATGCTCAAGTGAGATTTATGTGTGCGCATCTATGTAATAGATCTGATTATGTCACATGAATAATAAGCAATTCGAGGGAATGAATGATGTAGCCTATCTTTTCTAAACTTCTTTCTAATATGAAATCTTTCTAATATGAAATCATTCTAGGTGATGTTATGTATAACCACGTTTAGAACTAGGTACATGTTTTCTCAGTTTTACAATTATCATACTTTCTTCATTTGCACGTTTTAATGATTCCAACCTTGACCTGAAGATCATGCTCAATTTGACGAAAATGTAGAACATCACCTCATAATGCATGAAAACTTTATCTTGTAGCTCATTTTTTAAATTTTCAGATTTTCCAAGCAAAATAGTATGTTCTTTTTGCATGGCAAAAAATTCTTTCTAGAATGTAGAATATTTTTTTCCAAATTTTAAAGCTAGCATGCCATTGTTTATAAAATAGAAGTAGTTCATTATAAAAAATGGTATACTTGCTTGCTATCTAAATCACCTGATTCTTTAGTGGCTATTAAGCATAAATTAGTGACTTTTTCCTCAATCTCAGTCTTTGAGTTTGAATTCGAATAAATTCAAAAGTCACATTGTATTTTCCTCTTATTTTTCGTGCTACTCCCTTCTCAGCCTTATCTTCTTACTTTTGGCTCTTGAGATTCTTGAACACTAATTATATATGACTTGGATTCTTACACTTAAAATTAAATAATATTTGAAGCAATTTAATTATTCTTTCTACTTTTTTTTGCGCCTCCACTTATCATTATGCTTTTTCTTTGTATTCTTTAGGAAGATTTGAACTTTCTAGTTATGAATATGATGTCTTCATCTTTGGCTTAGTCAGTTTCTTTTGTTCTTAGTGCAATGACCTTCTCCTTCCATTGAAACCCTACACATTTGCTTTTCTCTTGATAACTTTGTATTCATATGCTTTCGAAGAGCAAAGTAAATGATCAATAAAATAAGATGATAAATATTTCGATTCAGAGATTGTCTTCATATTGACATCTCTAGATTTAGGCAAGTAGTTTAAAATTTTATTCACATTTAGTTGTGCGAACTCTCTTTCATCAGTGATCCACTTACTAGATGGAATTTCAACATTTTGTTTTTCAAATTTGTGAGGTGGATTGTATTCTATTTATTATAATCGATATATTGTATAAATATAGCCATATGCGATTTACAAAAATTAGGAGTGTTGTCAAATAGTAGTGATTAGATAATGGAATACTCTTGTTAGGTGTTTCTATTTCTTAATTATGACACATATAATCTACTTGGGATGGTGTAACCTCGTTTCCATATCACTTATAATGTGTAATACACTCAAGGTGGGGAAGGTTGGGGTTGAATTAGTATTTTTTTTTTTAATTTGCAAAAAATAAACGAAGAAAATTAGATAACAATTTGTGGAATGAGCTAATAAACAATTTTCAATTTATTAAATTCTAAAAAATATTTGAAACTGTTTAAAATAAGATTTGAGCAAGTTATTTTTCTTTTCCCCCAAAAAATAGATCTAAACCACTCTTTCTCTTATAGAACTTTAATTTATTTTTAATATAAAATTGCAACTTTCACAATACAACAATAACAATAACTTCAAGCCTTTATCCCACCATTTGGGGTTGGCTACTTGTATCCTTTTTTTCCATTATGTTCTATTAAAAGTCAAATTTTCATTTAAATCTAATAAAAAATATGTCATTTCTAATACCTTCTAACCATGTCTTTTTTGGTCTATATCTACCTTTCTTTACATAAGCCAAATCTAATACATCTACTTTTATAATCAGGTCATTAGAAGGTGACATTGTGACCAAACCATCTAAGACGGCTCTCTCAAATCTTATCTATTACTGGAGCAACTCCAACCTTTTCACATTTATAGTTGTTTTGCATTCTGTGTCTAGGAGTGAAGCCACTCATCCATCTGAGCACCCTCATCCTTGCAACTCTTAACTTAATTTTATGCTTCTCTTTTGATGGCCAACATTTTGTGCCACAAAGCATTGCAGTTCTCACCATCTTATATAATTTTTCCTTAAGTTTGAGGGGTATTTTTCTATCACACAACAATCCCGATGCATTTCTCCACTTAAACAATCCAACTGTAATTCTATTAATAATATCCTCATCTATTTCATCATCGCTTTGAACAATAAATCCGAGATATCTAAAACATATACTCTTTTCAATGTCTTGATCGCCCAAAGTCTCATGCCCCTCACTAGATCTATTCTACTAAAATTATACTTCATTTATTTGGTTTTAGATATACTTAAATGAGATTCTTTAAACTTTAAGGTTGACCTCCATAATTTAAGTTTTTTTAAATTCCCTCTCTAATCTTATCAATAAGAAGATCATCATCAAGGAAAAAAACATACACTAAGGTTCATCCTTTTGCAAATCTTTAGTAAGAACATCTATGACTAAAGCAAAAATATATGAGCTTAAAGTTGATCATTGATGTAATCCAGCTGAAATAATGAAATACTAGATCAAACCACCTTGTGTTAGAACACAAGTAATAACTTCCTATAAACGTATCTTTAATTATTTGAATATAAACATTAATAAGGCCTTTCTTTTCTAGATCATTTCAAACCGCGTATCTTATAATTTTATCATATACTTTCCTAAATTAATAAATATCGTATGTAGATCCTCCTTAGTCACTCTATACTTCTCCATCAAACGTCTCAATAAATATCATATATTTCTGGCCTCTAACTGAACTAACTGAACTACTTGTTTGAAGATTGTAAAACTAGTTGGTGATGGGAGTTTTTTATGCAAGGAAAATATTGCAAATCACCATGTTACTTAAGAAAATTAGTGGGGTTGCGTGAAGTCCTCTCAAGGCCGGCCTTTCTCTCTTCAAAGGCATGCCCTGTGTACTCCAATATTGAGTCTCTGTGATAGCCCTTGGCTGTTTGTTTGTCACTATTATGTTCCGAGAATCGACTAGTTCTGTCTAGTTTACCATGGGTTGTTATGTAGATCACTGGTTATGGCGCCATGACATTGGTTTGAGTGGTGGCCAGTTGGACTAGCTTGGGTTTTCCATCCTTGTCTCCAGCTTACAACATTTCGGTTGGGCAACCTTAAACTGTAATGATTATCTCCACTATAGTTCTACACTAATTAGTCATTTAAGAATTCAGTGTTTAAATCTTAAGCAGTGTTTATGCTACTTTCAGAATTCTTGTTATCAATGTAACTAGTTGGAAAAGTATAGGTATTCCAAACTCCAAAAGTTAGTTGTAAAGAACACCCAAGATTCTTCTCAGATAAACTGAAACTGTTAAAATAATTTATTTCCTTAACTTTTGTCTTACTGATTACAAGCAGCATCCCATTGTATGTTGTAATTCCAACGTGATCACCATTTGTGCACATTTCATTTTTAGTTCATTTAGGCTTCGTTTGGAATGGCTTTTTTATTGTTTCTTAAAGTAGTTTTCTCGTATAAAAATTTTATTTGTTGTACTAGAAAGCTGCTTTAAGAAGCAGGAAGAAAGCTATTCCAAATGAAGCCTTAAGTTATTGTTTGAAATATACTTTGCTTCACTGAAGTACAGATAGTCCTACAGTTTCTGAGTTTGTAGTTTTTTTTTTTTTAACAGTTTAGAGTATGTAGTTGCCGATATGAATTCTCCCACAACTTCAAAGGAGAGTTTCATGTTTATTCAGTTTTCCTTTGAATAACACTATATTATGATTATTTGTGGCTTTAATACCAGTTCTTTTATCAGACTGTAATCTCACTGTTGCCATTTCCACAGATATTGTTACATTTTTCTCCGCAGAGATCATATTTTACATTGGACTTGGTATCTTTCTATCAATTACTGATCACGTACAACGTCCCTACATTGACTTTAGCCCAAAACAATGGAGTCTCATCACCGGCCTCAAAGGATACTTGTCTTCCGCATTCTTCGCCATGGGCGTCAAAGTAGTTGCTCCTATTGCCGCCGTGTATGTTGTTTGGCCTGTCATCGCCCTCCCAGCTGCGGTTGCGGTGGCGCCATTTCTTCTCGGATGTGCCGTCCAATTTGCATTTGAGCTTCACCTTGACAAACGACAATCCTCCTGCTGGCCCGTCCTGCCGATCATCTTCGAGGTATATGCGAACTAAAATCTTTTTCAATTTGGAAATTCACTTCAGTTTCTCAGCCAGAAATCAAAATTTACAGGTTTACAGATTGTATCAGTTGAGTAGAGGATCATACTTTCTTGAGAAGTTGATGTTCTCAATGAAGGGAGCCCAAATGACACCGAAGGTAATTGAAAGGGGAAACGCTTTATTTTCCTTGGTTGTTCTTTTTCAGATCCTTGCAGTTGTTTCTTTGTGGTCCTTGGCTACTTTTCTTCTAAGGCTTTTCCCCTCCAGGCCAGTGGCAGAAAACTACTGAATTCTCATAGTGTAAGTCTTCTTACAGTTTTGTTGTTTCTTTAGCTGTTTTAGTTTCATGGTGACAAAACAGATGGAAATTAGAATGGTGGAAATGACCCCCAGTGGTGATAATCATTAAATTTGTTGTTTACCAGCTTAATTTGTTTAGAATCTGTGCATTTATGTATCTATGCATGAATTTATAATTTATAACGTTATTGATTGTTCAATATATGCTGCGGCAATGCGCAGCGCATGAACTGCAGTAAGAGATATCGAATTAGGAGAAATTATTCCGTGCGGAGTCCGGACGGTAAAGAATCATCCAGATGTGAGTACACTGAGTATAATTTTGTACACAGTTTTTTTTATACAATATGTATGAATACTGTGTACACTCACATCCGGATAGTTCTTTATCGTCTGAACTCATGCTGTCTGGACTCTGCACGAAATAATTTCTTTCAAATTAGAGCCTTTCTATTTATCCTACTCTTTTTTTCTGACAATTGCTGTACTGTCCGGTTCTGTTTTATTTAAGAAGTGCACAGTTTCCTTTTAGAAATGTCACCTTAAAAGAGTAAAACGTTAAGATTCAGTATTGTTTTTCCTTCAGAGAAAGCAGGAGACTTTTATACATAGTTAGTTTAGCTACCTCAGTCATCAAACTTATGAAACGCAGCTGGGCAAAAGATCAGTGTATTATATATTATGCCTTTTTGTGTTCAATAAATAGTAGGCGGTGGATTCATACCTTTCTAAGTGCCATCTATCAAGTTTGCAATCTTAGCTACGGGAAAGTGCCTTATTCGAGAGATTCTCAGCTTGTATCACAATCAACCGATCGTGGAGCTCAGTTTCCTCGCGACTCAAGTTCACTCACTTTCTATCCCCTGGCGATTTAGAGCTCTAACACCAGTGACTTCAAATTGCGTGTCAGTCATAGATCTCAAGGTTGTAAAAATTGGACCTGAGAACTGAAAGGAGAGGCTCAAATTCAATGATTTGACTGGGGTTGGACTGGGTCGGACCGAGGTTAAATCGGATGACATAATAAACATTAATAATATTTAAATAATAAGATAACTTTGTAATAATTATGAAATAATATGATTTTGAGATTAAAAATTAAATAAATTCATACATAAATAATAAGATAACTTTGTATTAATCCCCTACCCTACCCCCATTCCCACATGTGTTGAAAACTTCGGAGGAAGAGAGATCTTTCTTGAATTCTACCTTGTCCGGCAATAACACCTTCTTGTCCTTCCCATCACCAGTCAACTCGCAGCCACACCCCACTGCAGCTTCCTTGTTTGGACCAAGAGCCACATGCTCTTCCAGATGGTTGCACCTCCACCACAACCCCTGCCTAAACTGAGAGCCACTTGATCTCCTAGATGGCTAGGGGGGGGAGAGAGAGGAGAGAACTCAGTTTAAGAAAGAAAACTAAACTGATTTTTATTATTCATTCACAAACAATACAAGTCACCAATATTTATACTAAAACAACCCAAATGGGAAAAAAGGTAAAATAGCCTAAAACAAAGGCTTAAGAAAAGGACTAATATTTCAAATAAGAACCAACATCTTACAATCTTCACCTTAGCTCTTTGATTTGAAATGTGATAAACATCCATTGCTAGAATTTCTCTTTTACCATCCTTACCAAGTTTACGCAATATTGAAACTTATGATTTCAAAGAGCTTTGGTTAACACATCAAATGCATTATCTTCTATAAATACCTTCATAATCTTCACCACAACATTTGACACAGTTTCTCCACCACACCATGTGTTTAGTCTTTTCATGAAAAATGGGGTTCTTAGATAAGAGCACAACACTTTGATTGTCACAAATAATCTTCATCAGCTTGAAAATAGAATGAACCAACTCTGTAAACAAGCCTTTGAACCAAATAGCCTCCTTCACTACATCAGTTGTAACCATGTACTCAGCTTCAGTAGTAGATAAGGCCACAACAAGTTGTAGATTGCACTTCCAACTGGCGATATTCCTATATACCTTAAATATGTAATCGATGAGAGATCTTTTAGTGTCATTACATCCCGCAAAATATGAATAAACATATCCAAAGAGGAAATCTTCATTCAATTCATATTTTGTAAATTTCAAACTCAAATCTTTGGTTCCATTAAGGTACCTAAGCATCCACTTTGCTACCTCCCAATGAGACTTCCATGATTTAACTATAAACTTTGAAGTGACATTAAGAGGATAGGCCAAATATGAACTACATCAAACCATAACGTACATGATGCTTCCCACGCCATTCTGATAAGGAACCATACTCATGTATGCCTTTTCTTCTTCCTCCTTGGGACTTTGATCCTTGCTAAGCTTGAAATGAGATGCAAAAGAAGTAGAAATATATTTTGACAATTCCATGTTGTATCTTTTCAACCCACTATCAATCTAGGAGCCTTGAGATAGCACTAACTCTTTACCCCCCTTGTTCCTCTCAATGTCCATATGAAGAATTTTTCTAGCAGCCATAAGATCCTTCATATCAAATTCGTCCTTAAGCAATGCCTTCATCCTTTCGATCTCCTTCATGCTTGAGCTATCCAACAACATATCATTAATATAAAGAAGTAAATAAATGGCAGTACTAACTTCCTTTTCCTTCAAGTACACAAAAACATCTTGTTTACTCCTTTTGAAGCCAACATTATGCATGAAGGTGTCAAACCTTTGATACCACATCCTTGAAGATTGATTTAATATATATAGGGAACTTCTTAACAAGCAAACTAAGCTTTCCTTCCCAATTTCAGCAAAACCTTTGGGTTGTTCCATATAGATAGTATCCTCCAATTCTCCATGTAAGAATGATGTTTTGACATCCAATTGCTCAAGATTCATGTCCATTTGGACAACCAAAGAAAGGACCACATGAATTGATGTGTGCCTTACAACTGGTGAGAAGATTTCTTCATAGTCTATCCCCTTTTGTCGAGTGAACCCCCTTTCTATAAGCCTAATCTTGTACCTAGGCTCATCTTCAACACCAACCCCTTCCTTTATTTTGAATAGCCGCCTACAAGTCACTAGCTTTTTCTCTCGTGGCTTCTCCATCAAGTTCCAAGTGTGATTCTCCCTTAAAGAGGCCATGTCCTCTTCTATAGCAAGCTTCCATTCACTTCTCTCCTAACACCTCACTGCCTCCTTGTATGCGGTAGGTTCATCACATTGTATAGAATATGCTAAGAGAGCATAATAAATCACATCAGCAAATCCATACATTTGAGGATTCTTGGTTACACATTGAGTTTTATCCCTAGTTAGCTCATAACTCCTCTTTTGCAACTCCTCAATGGATTCCTCGTCAATTTCTATTACAAGACTCTATTATATCATATTCTAACATTTATGTTTTTTTTCTTCAATATTATTTTTTTTCTATAGAATTTATCTCTACTCTCATCTAAAAATAAGGATTTGAGGGAAACTTTAAAGGACACACATAACTTAAATGAAGCGCTTTAAGAATTTCTAGCCATTCATTTTTCAGCAACAACAACAACTTTAAAATTGTTGTTTCACGCTTCTTCTATTTCTACTTGATGTTGATATCAAGAACTAGAACCATCCCCTAAACACCTTCCAATGGCTATAGGAACATGGATTTCATCCATAGGAACTGTTGAACCCTTTTAGGAATAAGATCAACCATCTCATTTTTATTAAAATTAACATCCCTCCTGACTCCAAGCACCAAAGTCTGTAGCCCTTCACATTTTCAGGATAGCCTATGAAAATGCATTTGATAGCACTTGGTTCCAACTTTATTTGCTTGATGTGATCATATGATATACATTCAAATACCCTCAACTTCTTGTAACATGCTAGGTGTCCACTCCACATCTCTTGAGAAGTTTTGAAGTTAATTGCACATAAAGGACATCTATTGATAAGGATTGCAGCCGTGTTAACCGCCTCTTTCCAAAATGACTTAGGAAGCCTTGCATTGTCCAATACACGCCTCACCCTCTCTAGAATGGTCCTATTGAACCTTTTAGCCCCATTTTGTTGAGGAGTGTCTCATAGTTAGGTGTCTTGCTATGCTATGCACCTTACAAAACTCCTTGAACTCATATGAGCAAAACTTCAATCCATTACCAGTTCTAACCTTTTTAGCCTTCTTTTGTACTTGATTTTGCATAAGAACCTTCCATTTCTTAAACATATCCAAGGCTTCATTCTTACCTTTTAAAATGAAAACTCAAAGCTTTCTAGAATAATCATCAATTAGAGAAAGAAAGTACCTAGCTCCTTTATGAGACTCATGCTTGGTTGGTCCCGACATACTCCGACAAATCAATATGTACATAATCCAAAATTCCCTTATAATCATGTCTTGCATTTGAAAATTTCAGCATCCTTGCTTTTCCAACTATTCAATTCTCACAAAGTCAATATCCTAAGGTTTTAAGCTTCCAAATGTTCCTTGATTGTGCAACTCCTCCGTTTGTAACTTTTGGTGCTATAACATAGTCTCATCCACTTGAAAACTCACTAAGCTAGCTTGTCCACCAATCAATATTTTGCCTTGCAATGTGTATACACCATTCATCCTCACACCTTTGAATATAACATGTGAGCCCTTGCACACCTTGAGACTTCCTCCATTACACTTAAAGAGTAGCCTTTTTTTCAAATTCTCTCAAAGAAATCATATTTCTTTTAAGTTAATGTACAAATATCACTTGTTTGAGAACCCTCTCCAATCCATCATGGAGCTTCAACCGAATGCTTCCTTAGATTTGGATCTTGCATGATTTGTTGTTCTCTAAGAACACCAAACCTCATTTTTTCTCTTCAACCCTTTAAACCATCCACAATTTGGACACATGTGATAAGAGTACCTAGAATCAAGTATCCACTCCTTACCAGGCTTGGTATTTAAGGTTATAAGAGCATCTGAACTTTTATTTCCTTCATCCATACATGAGGAATCTTCAGTACTTTTTTCTTTGTCTTGATATTTTTTCTTCAATCCCGGGCATTACTTTTTGAAGTGGCCTTCCTTGTGACAAAAGAAACACTTCACCTTGCCTTTAGACTTGGATCTAGCACAGTTCTTAGCTTTGGACTCCACTTCTTGGCTCTACCTCTCATGCAAAGGGAATCAACTGCCCCTTCATACTTCACCTCAACCCCCCTTTGAATCTCCTTGGAGTTGACTGCATCCTTGGCTTTGACCATAACAAGAGTCTCCTTCCCATATAAGGTGTTCACAA